CTCGTTCTAAATTCGGTAAAATCTCAGTTAAACAAATAAAAAACAAAAAGCATTCATACCGCAGAAAATAAAATTCACCCCGTCGACTTGATGCACACCCCCGCATTGCGGGTGGTGCCCTCCCTCTCTTGGGATTTAATCCTTCAAATATGAACAAAATGAATTAATTTTGCAATAAATGATTGATAAAGAGTAAAGAATCACAAGTAAATTTATCTCGGCATGTTTAATTTAAAATATATAAACTGTACATTTATTTAATATTCTTATAAATTTTCATACTTTGTATATAATGTACTTAACTTATTTCATAATAAAAAAATGAGCATGATAAATTAATAAATCCACCGTCAACGTATTTGATACAACAGTGACACTTGAGCCGCGACAAGAGATCCAAATGACAAATTTTGTTCCACCGAGAAAAGGGAAAAATAATCAATTATTCTCACATTATCTTTTCTATCTCATTGTCCACGCGATACCCTATTCAGTCCAATTATGTGAACGCAATAATTCTCTTTAAAACAATTAATTTACTATAACCAAAACTGAAATGCTCGTTCAATTAAACAAAACAACTAAAACAATTAAAGAATAGTAATAAAGATGAAGCACGTCATTCCATGACAAATTACTTTGGAAGACAAAATGAAAACGTAGTAATAAACATAGATGAACTGGCGTCTTTTTTCCCTTAACAATAATCACTAAAATTATGCCTTCGTTATCATTCTTTCCTTTAATCATTGCGTATGTACACGCATTACCCTTGGAATTACGTATTACTTTGTCACAGAAAATGAAATTCATTATTTCAATTTTTCCCTTCAAGAATAAATAAATCCCTTGAGTCCCCAGTATTTCACTCTACACCCAAAAATTTTCAATCTCAAATCAAAAAATGTCATAAATCACTCAAAAATTATGGTCACCGCATTAAAAACCCCAAAATACTGGATTCTCACAGAATAAATAAAATTTCCTGACTCAAGGATATCGAAAGGATATTCTTGAATCACATTGGAGTCTCCATTCAGTGATATTTATTCTCGAATGCGGAAACTACACGATTGATTGAATTTCCCGTTTTTTCTGCATCTTCCATCACTTCACCTCAACAAAAAGAAGAAGATTTCCCTAAATTAATTTACTCGTTTGGCTCCAACTCCATCAGACCAAGACCAAGGATCAGTACGAAACGTTATACCTAATCAATAAAAATCCCTCAGTTCTTGCTGAATAACCAACACTCAGATTGAAATACAAAATTTCACGTACACTGTCCACTCTGTACACATCTCCACATAAATAATCCAGAGTTATTCTCACTCCACGAACAAAACGTCCATCGTATTATTACAATTCTTTTAATACTGCAATACTCGATTACATCCCCCGAAACACGTGCATTCATAGTATTTTGAGATCGAATGCACATTAAACTAGGTCCTAATGATATAGAGCCTAATAGAGGGGTAAATTTCAGCTGCCCTGGTATGGCATTTGATCAGGAAGTGGTGATGAGTGATTCTGGTGTGGACTCTGATGGAAATGTGGACTTGTTCCATCCTGTGACATTTCATTAACCACTGGCTCCTCGTATTTTCCACGCTTGAAGCGTCCGTACAGGGATGAGTACGGCAAATTGTAATGTATAGCTGCTTGATTGATGCTCATGTGACCCAACCTGTAGTCGAAAAAAATACAAATTACCTTCATTTGAATTATCATTTTAGACAGACCAATAATCAAACTTTAATAATATTTTCTGACGTTTTTCAATAATAATTTTCCTCCAGTTCTCAATCGAGCGTTTTTTTTTTTTTGTAATTTTGTGGCACCCGAAGAGTTATTCACATTCTCAAATTAATCGAGTATCGAATTAAAATAATTCGCTCCTTGTAATTTAAAGGCAGATTTGAGAATGGATTTACTCATCTAAATGATAATGCGAGGAGGAATAAAATGAGAGTGAAGAGTGGAAATAAAAACCCACCGAACCGCCTCGAGGGCCTCGGTCATAGCGTCCTCGCTCCAGGGAGTTGGATTGCTTCTGCTCAACTCAATGCCTTCTCGCTTACATCTACCGTAGAGTGTCCCCGTGGGTATGCCAAACTCGGTGGATGCTCTCTGGACAGATGTCTGGCCGGATCTGATGGCCTCCAGTGCTCTGTCAAGATCCGCTGGTGACCAGGTTGTTGGACTCGCGTTGAATGGCGCTGCCAATCGTATACCCTCCCTTCTGGCTATTTTGTACAATGTACTGGACGGTATTCCAAATGCCTTTGACGCTTTATTCGCTGATATCGTGCCGGTTCTCAGAGCCTCCAGGGCATTGTTCAAACTCTCATCACTCCACGATTTTGTTGGACCATCTTTTTTTGGTGTATCTATACCCAGACGATGGGCTCTCTGCCATAACGTTGTTGATGGAATTCCAAATGTCGCTAGGGAGCAGAAAAATTATTTCCTCATCATAAAACAATTCGACTTGATTTTTTAATTAAACTTCAATTGACAAAATCAATTTTTGAATAAGTGTCATTGATTTATCAGAAAATAAATCGATAAATGATGAAGTTGATGCCATTAATGAGATTGGGACTCACCAGAAGCTTTAGTTAAACTCATGTCATGATTTCTAAGTGCTTCGAGGGCAGCATCCATATCCTCCTGTGTCCAAGACTTGGATGTACCGTGATAGTGTCCCGAGCCTCCAGAATGTCCCCTAGAATTATTCTCCCCCGAGTCTGAGTGTACGGAGCTACCCGATGGCATAAGACCCAAAAGCTCGGGTGTTATCATCATCATATTGTCACTATCAGCCCCATGCTTCGAGCTGACACTGGCACGATCAGACATATGGCTGTCTATGTCAATAGTGTCTGACGAGTCCATCGTGTGGAGGGTTTCAAACTTTATCTTAACGCTGTCGCAGTTCTGAATATCTGTAAAATAAATAGTTCAAATTGTTTGTTGTCAGTTGATACAAATGAGACACAATGCACCACTGGCAAATCTAATTGAGAGTACTTGAGCTTTATTAGCTCACTCTCTTCACGTCTTTCTCAATTATTCGTTTATTGGTGGATTTTAAAATCGCGTGCAGATGAATGAAATGTTGACGATCAATTATTCATTCCTGCACGAGTCAATTGGAACGAGTTATTTGTGGAATTTGTGGAGATCGAGGAGTTCTATGAAGGACAATTACGTGCAATTATTCAGTGAGTACTATTTATTGGACTTTATGAGGGGAATTTTTCTGGGATTAATTACGAAAATTTATGAGCTTTTGTTGTACCTGTGACATGATCTGAGTCTCGCAGATGAGTGACTGTTGTGCCCACCAGGGTGGCACTAGGTGGTGTTGGCTGGGTTTCAGGAGGTAAATCGACATCTCCTGGATCTGGATGATGTCCATAATGTCCTAATCCTGTGTGACAAAACATATCACCTTTTTATTCAAAATGAAAAACCTCTGTCCCGAATCCTCAGAGAATATCGTAAATCGCCCCACACCCGAGGTAAACCCACACGTGGGGGAACAGTCCATTTAAGCCGTTCAAACTTTCACACCATGATTTTACAAATGTTCCACATTTTTTGGGATATGGGGGGCACTGGGGACTAACTCACGGTGGATTTAACGTGTACTCAACTACTAGACAATGATAAGAGCTTTAAAGACTGGAAAAATACGAAAACAAAGGGAAAACATTTTTTTTTCAACTCTTTTTGGGGCAGGACAATAACTTTTATTTGAAATCTCAATTTTTTTATCAACTGACGGTTGATTTTAGATATTTTCGACGGCTGGAGAGAATTTTTTTCTACGATATTAATTAATGAGATATTAATAACAAAAATCGCTGAATAGTAGTTGAAACATTTGTTTTCACGGGTTAGTCACAGTTTATTCCCATTATCTGAGAGTAAATAATGGATAAGTCTACCAGTGCCATATCATAAACAAGGATAAACTTTCTATTTACAAATATGAACTTTAAAAAGTGTCTGGGCAGAGAAATCCCCAAGGAATCGTGAGAAATAAAACTAAAATAAATGCTCTATTATCTCGAGGGTATTGAATAATTGGATTGTCGTAATTAAAAGGCTCGATGAATTTTTTTCATTGACTTCCTGACGTGGACAACGTGAGGGTTGAGACACTCAGGTGAGGGGCGAATTTCTCGGCTCACAGATTGGCTTACCGTTATTGTTGTTTGTTCCGTTACCGTTGTTGATGTCTCGTTGGCAGGATTCCAGGACTACTGCCTCAACCCCACACTCCTCATCCTCCGTCGTTGTCTGCCAGTCACCTCGGTGATTCTACGGACCCAACATCCGGTACAAAATTAACTTGAGGCTCAAACACAACCGAGAGTACGACGCGCAATTCCCCACGATATCATTAATCAATGATTTTTCTGATCCATCGAGAGGTGCAGCTGGATGAGTCAGCTCACCATTCGATATCAATATCTCGAATTTTACAAACGATGTTTATGTATTTATCATCAATCCACTAACAATTCAGATAAATCCATTCAACTCAGATTTATTTTTGAGTAATATCCCTGGAACGAAGAGAAATATCGAAATTTCAGTAGATACCTTTTTTGTAGCTCTCATTCCGCTCCACAAAAAAGGATTTAACAAAAAAATCGGTATCTCTTTTAGATCCAAAGATATTCAATGATTGATTTTTTGATCTTGATGTCCGTAACAACGTATGCTCCCATGGGCTAATTTTTTTTTTGGGGGGAGTTCTCACCTCTTTATTATTTTCCCGGCTGGAGGGAAAATCGGTGGTGCCACTTCCACCCTCGTTATCCTCGTCTTTGTACTTGTCGTAGTGCCTTGTGTCTGCACTTTCGGTTATCGCCTCAAACGACGTTCTCGCTCTTTTGTACTTTGGATGATGTCTCTTCAACTTGGTGTAGTTTAATCGAGGTGTACCAGGCTCCCGTGGTGGTGAGCTCAAACTGACTGATGCCGATCCCTCTTTGCTCTCAGGTACCTCACAGAGGCCCTTGATCTTCAATTGATCAGCCGTTTTTAGCAGCGACTGCAATATCAAATCATACAAAAAATTATTCTCCCTCTCTTACTCCACGTTCTCCTCATCCCCAGCACCCATCCCCTACCCCTGGGTACCACCCATCCGTCCGAAAAGAATTCGTAAAACCAAACGAAGAGGGAGAGAGAAAAAATAAATGAGAGAATGAAATCGGAGAGGGATTCGCTTGGCGTGCAGAGGCTGGCCATGCTCTCTGTTCTTTAATCAACCCAGGGGTTGGTGCGATTACGTGGACTACCGAAGAGAGGTGAAATGAAGTTGGGGGGGTGGGCTTTGAGGAGGGAAATACGTCGGGGGCAACCAGCGACAGTGACGTCGGAGGGGGTGTCGCACCCAACGGCGGAGAAGGCAAAAACGCCCGCAGGAAGAATAGGGGGGGGGGGGGACGTCGGGGGAGGGTGGCAGGGAGAGCTGTCGCGACCCCAGGGCCGTATCGACCACCCCTCAGCCTGGTCCTACCTTTTCCCAATTCCCCATCTCGATTGTTATGCCTACGCACACCGCCACGGCCACTTCCACCCCCATCCTCTCCCAAAATTCTTTATTCCTATTCCGGAATTTTTATTCTCTCATCTCCATCATCTCCAACATCTCCAATGTCTCCAATACACTCACGTAAAAAGTCATTACGTATCGAACAATACGAATTCCGAGATTGGAGTCTAAAAAATAGGGAAATGAAATAAAAATGTGAAAAAAATGGATTAGTGTCCGGCGTGAGGGGGAAAATAGGGGGGAAATAAGGGGGAAAATAGGGGGGAAAATAGGGAGGAAATAGGGAGGAAAGAGTGACGAAAATTTGCAGAGACGTATTGGGGATGGTGGGACTGGTGAAGTGCAGGATGGGCTGGTCGAGGAGTCCAGGGTGAGAGGCACAAGGCAACAACGCGTTTGTGAAAACGAGATAGACTCCTGGTATATCTGTATACGTGTACAGACTGCGGGATAGAGAGGAAGCGGCCAGACGGTTGAGCCACCCAGGGGAGGGAGACACCGCCAGAATCCCAACCTCACCAATCAATACTTAGGGTTCAAGGGCATCGCCCTAGCAATTATCAATGCACACCGATATCCAGCATCAAGACATTAATCATTAAAATCGACTCATCCGATTAATTATTCATCTAATGATGACCATTGGATTTGTCACTCGCCAGGAGCTCCAGGTGTCTCATCCTCTCGGGGAGATGAAGACACAGGAGGACAAGAGGAAAAAAAAATGGGATGAGAGGATGAAAGGACCAGAGAATGGCAAGTCCAACAGGTGTAAATCCCATAAAGAGGTGAAAATACCGAGAGAGAGTGGATAGGAAGGTCGTACCGAGGAGTAGGTGAGAGGGAGGTGAGGGTGTTGAGAGGGTGGCAATGGGGAAGACGGTGGTACCGAAGGAGACGACTCTTTTTATTTATCTCGAGGTAAATACTCGGAATACTCGCACATACCGGGTTCCATTGAGAGGATAGAGGTAACTGTGGAGTACTTGAGTATTACGAATACGGCGTTATAACGGAGTTGATAATGTAACGGGGCGATGGAGAGAGAGAGAGGTAAAGGGGGAGGGAGGGAGACGTCTCCTTCGTTTTCTCTACCACTTTCTTTTACCTACTATCCTTCGTACAATCCCACGTACGGGATTTCCTTTTACTGAATGAAAAAGACCACGTGTTTACGAGAGATCTCGGGGGAGAGGAAAAACGAGGAGGGGATTCACCAGTTGAAATGTTAATTTTCACTCGTATGGGATTGAGAGGTATATTAAGACTTGGCTGGGATCCAGGGTGGAGGGAATCCGGTGAAAATTATAGGTGGTGATGAGGTATGAATTTTGTGAGACTCAACGTGCAAGAATGTTTACGAATGTGAAGCAAAGAGGGTTGATAATGCGAGAGTACGACCCTGACGCTCTTCAGACGGTTCAGCCACTCTGTCGCCACTTGCACTTGACGAAACTGATGCTCATGATGAATGCATGGTCATATGATCCTTAAATCAACTGTAAACTCGTGTTATAAAAGTTATGAGAGCAACAACAATTCATCACTTCAATTCTACTCTTTCATTTTCCACCCCTGATTCCTATTTACTATTTTATCATTTCTGAAACATCACCAGAACCCACCCCCGGTCTGAACCTGGACATCAAGTAAATAGGATTCCTAAATACCCAGACATTCATCACTCACCTGTTATTCACGAGGTAGCCCGTCACCTCCGAAACCACCCGAGACGTTGGAAAGCCACGAGGGCACCACTGGGAGGGAAATAAAGTGCCACCCAGAGTGCAAGGAAGAGGATGGCAACAACTGGCGTCTCGACGCTACCCCGGGGTTCACACACGTGCGTAAGAGCCGTCGATTCGCTAACAATTTGAGTACCGAAATAATAAAAAAAATAAAAAAATAATAATCACATTGACACAGCGTAACGAACACCCAGGTATCCACCCCCGAGTTCAACGACGACTGATATAATTCCAGGTGGTTGATTTTTTTTTTTTTTTCAATAAAAACTCGGGGAGTAATAATTGTTGGCGGGAGCCGGGTCACCTCGGTGGCGAGAAGCCCAACGAAAGTGAAATGGCATTCGGGAGGTTCTGAAAGCGTTGGGGATCGGCCTGAGGACGCCAGGCTCAAGTGAGATAGAGAGAGAGAGAGAGAAAGGGGGAGAGAGGGAGATGAAGAGAGAGAGATAGAGAGAGAGAAAAAGAGAGAGTGAGAGAGGGTTCGGCAGGAGGTGCGGGCGGTGACGATAGCGTCGGTGGCGGCGCGGCACCAGCAACGGACAGCCGGTACCCAGGGGGGTACGACGGGTGGCGGGAGGAAGAGGAAGAGGAGGGTACAGAGGGACCCACCGAGATGCCGCGAAATTTGCCGACGTTAGCCCAACGAGGATGGGAGTAAGACTGAGAGAGACCATTAAAGCGAATACACACGCATGTTGCTTGAGCATTGTGCGTGGTTCAATGTGCCCGACGGTGATGAGGGTGATGAGGGGGCTGATGGGGCTGATGGGGCTGAGAGAGATGTTGAATATCGAATAGGCCAGGTGGGAGTGAGAGGTGGTGGTTTTAATGTATGAGAAATGATTGTGGTGTTGGTGTTGTGCGTTAAACCGGAGAAAGATAGAGGGATGGAGTGAGAAACTGGTGGAAGGCAATGTCGCGCTATTGGTGGACGAGGCGCGGCCAATGAGGAGGATGGGGAGGATGGGGAGGATGGGGAGGATGAGGAGGATGGGGAGGATGAGGATGAGGATGAGGTGGATGAGGTGAGGGAGATGGATGCGAATAGTGAGGCGCGAGACGAGGAGGTGGTGGAGGAGGGGAAGACCAGAGGCCTCAAGCCCTGTGGAGCCCAAAGGTATGCGGCTGACAGAGAGGATCGATCTATTGGAACGTGGATAATCTCCAGAGGTGGATGAGGGGTGCCCCTCCTCAGCCCCCCCATGTTGTTTGGGATCCGTCTGCACGGGTCTTTGGCTTCGACGTATATACCGAGTGGCTCATTTTTTTTCCTCGTCTTTTCGAGTTTTATTTTCAAACTGGGCAAAACAATTTTCAGTATCAAATCATGAAAAATGGGGAATCCCATGATCAGATGATCAGACGATCAGGTGAGGCAGGGGTGGAAGAAGGAGGGAAGAGGGAGGAGGGAGGAGGGAGGAGGGGGAAAGAGGAAAGGGTGAAAAGGTGGGGGTCAATTAGAAGGGGAATTTTTGGGTTTGAGAATCGGGTGCGGCTCTTCGTCTCGGAATGGTGGGACTCGGAGGAAGAAAAGTATGAAAAATGGGTGTGCAAAAATTTTTCGGCGGAGCGAAAAAGCATGCAGTCTGAAAGCCAGAGATGCAGGTTGGGTTGGTATGTCTGCTGAAAAGAGATAGCGAATAATTCTAAAGTGGAGGAGTGAGATAGATGGAGAATGAGTTGGGGGTGAGAGGGAGGCAGGAAAGAGGCAGTCGTGACTGCAGAGTTTGCGCGGACAAAGGGAATCTGCGGCTCCAGTCGTCTCTACGCACACATATAAACCCACCGATGCGCTTGCAGAATCCGCGTGGTACAGTCCGGTATGAAAGTTTATGGATTTATCGAAGAGTCGAGGACAATTGGGGGAATTGACGAAAATGTTGGTGTCATGGGTCTTGGCAATTGAGCACAATCAATAAAAAATCGATTCATATTGGTTGAATGATCAGAGGGACGAACACCAGACGAATCATTATGGGGTACAGTCTCACTTGGAAATTATGGGAATTATTATGTATTGAATATCCTTAATTCAAAAATTCGCGTAACACTTTGTGTCACCATTTTACGTTGCGATATATTATATAATATATTGTATATACTATATAAATATATAGAAGAAAATAATATGGATGAAATATGAAATGTAGATCGAATTAAATATCCATTTCATATATATTATGAATTTAATAGAAAAACTATCGAAGATTTTGAATATAGAAGATTTTGTTTTCAATTATTCGTCTAACAATTCAATTTTTGGGTCTTTCATTAAATACGATAAAATACGCGCGCGTCAATACCTAGTATTGAAAGTATTGAAAATATTGAAAATATTGAAAATAATGGAAATATTGAAAATAATGGAAATATTGAAAATAATGGAAATAATGAAAATAATGGAAATAGGAGAAACGAAAAAGATGGAAAATATTGATGATGATTTTTGGTTGAGTTTGAGAGTGAAAAAGGTTGGCAAGTCGAGCGAGACGTCTCGTATGTCTACATGTACAAGAGGTTTTTACGGTGTAAGAAGAGTTCAAGGTCTCATGGAACGGTATCCCCAGTGCGCTGAGCTCCTTCCACCCCACCCCGTTGGTCACCGAGTTGCACAGCCCCGAGGTTTTATCGTTTACCAGCACTTGAAGTACGTGGAGAGACGACATACGCCCGAGTTTATGTAGGAGTTCCTGGTCAGGTGTCCGAGTTTCTCCCAAGGAAAGGATTCAGAACGGGGTCATCAAGAGAGCATTATCCTCATTCTAGTTTCTTTTCTTTTTTTCTTTTTTATTTCATCTCTCCTTTCTCCCATCGTCAACACTCGTTGTTTTTCACCGTTACTCGTGCGTATGATGCATCACGTGGAATCATCCCCTCGAAACACTGGGCAATCTCAGATGAAGGAAGAAGGAAAAGACAAAAGGAGATAAATGTTACCAGTTGAGTTATCGAGCGTGACAACTCGACAAGTCGAGAAGGAGGTCATTCGTGGGATCCTTCTTCGTTTCTCTCCTTTGCCTTTCGCTTCCTCAAATCTCTCACCACTTCATTCTACTCCACAACTCACGACCCCATTCTCCATTTTTATTTATCACTACAATTACCAATTTATATGGTGAATGGTAATGGAAATAGTGAAACTGGAGAGATGATTCTGGGACGAGAATTTCATGTGCACAGTGAGAACCTTTTTACCTATATACTCTGCACTGTGTTCTCAAGGTCAGATGAACCAGATGATGTGGATAAGTGGATGATGTGGATGATGTGGATGATGTGGATGATGTGAATAATGTGGATGATGTAGATGATGCGAAATTAGAGATATTTTTTCTAGAGCTCTTGGTATTTACGACCCTGGGATTTTTATTTCTTCGATTCTAGCCACCAGAATTACCCATCGATTATTTTAATATGATTTCGTGGAGCACTGGGAGTTGGAATATTCACGATTCCACCAACACCCGGGAGCGTTGCGTGCCAGCACGTTGCGCCCGGCTGAACCCAGGGACAAAACCAAAAGAGGATTAAAAAAAAAATGTGAAACATCGCTGCCAATTATATTCGAATGTTGTCTTCCACGGGATTTCATATTTTTCCATCAGCATTCGTCATTGTTCAGAGATTTTTTTTCTGTCCCATAATAAGGTTTGCATTATAACAATGGAGAAAATAGGTAAATATTCAATCAACGGAATTTCCGGAATTTTTACTGAGAAGAATGTGGGAGATTTCAGCGATAAAATAATTTTGAATGGAGAAATCATTCCAGTGAAGCTAAAAAAATTGGTAAATGTGCGAATAATTGTGGAATTATCTCGAGAAATATCGATTTCACGGGGAGATGATCGGGGACTTTTTTGTGGGTGATTAAATTTCAGGGGAAAATGGGCTCTTGGTGTTTTTTTGTAAAATCAGTGGTTTGGGGATTAATCGGCGGTGGAGAAAGGGTGGAGTCGACTGAAGTCGGTTTTCCACTTCGCTAGTGCATTGAGACGGAAATATGAGAATTTCCATAATTCATGAACCGTTTATATATAGCATTTTCGAATACCTCCTCCTGGCAAATGTACGGAAGCAACAATGAGAATTTCGAGGTCATAAGCATCGAGGGAATGTTCACCCTCTGGTGAAATATATTTTCCAATTTTTATAAATGATCATTTTTCGCATTTCCTTTTCTCTCCTTTCATCGATTGTTTATAAAACCCGGGACTGATCAATTGGTAAACTAATCTTTTTTTTTTGCATCGAGGAATAAACTGATCTGGAGTACACGCTGCACTCGAAACGTACGTGAAACTACAGGTTTATGAATTCTAATTTTTTATTCTCGCTTATAACGATCACATGTTGAAAGGAGTTGCTCGAAAAAGAAAAATAGGAAAGAGGGCTGAGCTGAGACGGCAAGGCGATGATTTTATGGAAAATAGTAAAACGCGATTCTTCAGCATCAGAAATCACCAGAGCGGGTGAAATCTCGGATTCATTAGGGAAGAGGTAAAAAGATTTTGCTTTTCTCCGAGGAAAGGCCAGGGGAAAATTCCGGTGGTGATGAGGTGAAATCCGCTTCAACTACTTCAAATTATTTACTTCTAGCGAAGTTAGTGAACAATTTATAAAACTCATTTGATCCCCGATTTTGTAACTAGTAATTCCTCCATTTTTATTCTATGATTCAATCATTAAATTTTTACTATTCGAGTCCCTCTTTCGATTTTATATCGAGATAAATGATTTCTTTCTCTAATTTCTGTTGGGAAATTGTAAACTAGGACAAGTGCATTCTCTTCGCGGTGAGTTTTTCGTCAATTCCTCAAAATTGAAGAAAAATAGCGAAATTTTCAAAGACACCTTTTTTCCAGCTCTCATCTTTCTCTACAAAAAATGTATCGCAAAGTATTCGCCATGTCCCTTCAATTCCAAGATACAGACTAAAAACTGGTCTCGAAAAAAATGCGCTAATCCTAGTTGACCTCTTCACATCAGATTTATTATACCGGATCGGCAAAATAGACAATTGTTGCTTAAAAATCAGTATATTTGAAGCGATCATCGAGGCGACTACAGATAATTGATATACCACGGATTAGCACCGGATCTGTAATTTGGCGAGATTGTTGAATTTGAAATAGCGGATTGAACCGGAAAGCGAAAAATATGAGTTATAGAGGAATTGGAATTGAGAGCCCCTGGGAGGCTAGCAAGCACCGCTCTGGAGAGTAGCCTGATTGCCGAACAATGCGTCCTAACGAGATGGGGGTCGAAGACTGTCCTTTTATTGATTTCAACCGGTACACCGAGGGATATAGGCGCAAGAGTCACTAGACGGCTTCGCAAGCGGCCATTCAAAGCCTCCGATAATGACACCTATATCTCATTAAAAAATATTCCGCAATCTCGAGTAACTCCCAGACACCCCTCACACCGAGGAAATAATTGCATGCTCGGAGGATAGCCCTAAAATATCTAAAATACCCAATAATAAATAATTCTCAAAGAAAAATGCCCAATGGAATGTATCGACACCGGTCATTCGCCGCGCAGTTTAATGTCTATAGTACTTTTTTTTTAATAATGGATGGTGCATGTCTAACCTCTTGCTCCTCAAACAACTCCTGGAGAAGTCGTCCGGTGTCTCGTTGGGGATGTTCAATGATGGGGATGAAATTTTTGGTGGGTTCTTCACTTTCACTGGGAAACTGTGACGCTCGGGGGATAAAATAACCGATGAAAAGATCGTCTGGGAGATTATTTCCACTGAGGGAACACCGGATTACCTATTTACGAGGCAAAACCCGAGGACCGGGCATTCGGTGGATAAAGACGGTGGAGGAGTCACAACAACTGGGGATGACGACGCTAGCGGACTCTAGTGAATTTTTCACCACTTCAGGGGTTTCTTTTTTATCGACAGATTTTTTAAAACCGAATTTTCGAGTTCGTTCGTCGTCAGAATGGATTTTATAATGACAGCAGAGATATATAATAATAATATATCGTAATATATTATATATTATTTCTGATAAGAGTAAACAAAATGGTTGCGCACAATTCGTTGATTTTTCTAGAATTGTTTGTTGTTTTTGTTTGTTTTTAGTGTGCGAGATCGGAAATTGCACATCTTAATTGAAAATAATAATTATTTTTTTTAGATAATTGATATTTGAGGATTTGAGCGCGGGAAAATTCGAATTGCATTGCATTTTAAAGCAGAAAAGAAATCGAAGAGTCGATTTTTCCTTGATATGCAAATACCTTCTTGTGTATTCAAAATAATTGATTAATTATTTTGAAATCAAGAAGATCTAAATGGCGGGAATCCCCTTAAATTCGAAATTGCATTTTTCATTTTAAAGAGAGATCTCGATAACTCTTGCATTTCCTGGATTATCAATCAGTCGGAAATATCTAAAAAATGCATTAAATCTCAAATTCCCACTGAAACTCAAATTTCAATTACAAAAATAATTTCCATTATTCCCGAAATTTCAGTTCGTCTAGAATTTCGTCTAGTTCATAACCAAATGAAAACACACCCAAGAAATTCAATTCCTGATCCTCTCTATATTATCCTGGGCCCGGGGAATAATTTAAAAAAATGAATCGAAAAAAAATTCTTCAATAACTTAAAGTTGGAAAACGAAATGACAAAAGAGCCGCCAGAAAACTGTCAAGGAAATGGAGTCCCCGCTTTTACCGACCCCGAAAGCTAACGAATCGATGGTTAAAAACGGATAACTCCTCGACAGAAATATCCCAAGTGATATTGAACCTAGGGAGAGCGTGACGATAAAAGTGCGCGGGTAAAACGAAAGAATGTCGGTTCGCCTAGATTTCTCTCACCTGCAGTTCCGCCTGGGACACGTCGATCTCGCCCTTGTAGACGAATTCAATGATAAACTTGAGATCATTGAAGCAGACGTCCTGGGGCATAATGATAGTGGGATGTTTGCAGGGATTGGAGAGCAGTAATTTCTTGAAGTATGAACTGCATGCCGACAGCACCACCTGGAGAAATAAATCCAATAAAAATAATATCCGAGAGATTGTCAAATTGCGTCAGTCATTGCATCCATGCGATAAGGGAAAAGAGTCTAACGAAATGGCGATATCTCGAGATAGCATTGGAGCTCATGTAAATGGGTTTTTTCCCTGTTAATCATGAAATGATTAAGCGTTACTTGTGCATTATTGCACACATTCGAGAGATCTACTAGACTAATTACATTGGATTAACAAATTTTTACAAAAAATCCACATATTTTCAGACAATCTCCACTTTTATCGAGATAATAGATATACCAGATTAATTCCCCCATTTTTAATTCTCTAATTTCTGTTGGGAAGTGATAAACTAGGACAGGTGCATCTTCTTCGTGGTCAGTTTTTATCCAATCTCTCGAAATTAAAGAAAGATAATGATATTTTTCAAGACACCTTTTTTCCAGGTCTCATCTTTTTCTACAAAAAGATATACCGCAAAAAATTTGCCATGTCCCTTCAATTCCAAGTTACAGGCTAAAAACTGGCCCAAAAAAAAATGCCCCAATCCTAATTTACCTTTTCACATCAGATTTATTTCAGAGGATTAGCAAAATAGGTAGCTGTTGCTCAAAAATAAATATATTTGGAAACATCATCGATACGGCTACAGGTAATTGATATCCCCTGGATTACAGTGTGGAATCTCTAATTTGATGACATGATATGTTGAATTAAAACCTGCGGATTGAACTGGAAAGCGAAAAGCATCAACTGTAGCTGATGTTAATGAATTTTTTGCCGATTAATCATCAAACGATGTAGCCTACCTTGTGCGCCTTTAGCGAGGCCTCGTTGCATGCAAGTGTGACATCGACGAAGGCTTCAGTCTGCAGGAGCTGGTGAAAAACCGACGTCATATTCGACTGGTAGTTGTTCCACCGAAGGCAGTAGTGCTGCCCGGCCATCCCTCCGCTGAAAAACAACAAACATTATTAATAAATAAATCAAGAATGTCATAATTACAGTGGAATACCTGTAGTGAGTGCCCCAGTACCGGGGAAAATCACTCATAATTCATGAGGAAAAGTTAAAAGGGGGCCTGACAACACGAAGAATTCAAGTGAGACCAACCCAAGGACCCAATCCTTCGAGGAAGACTGATAAGGTAGGGAATTCCCTTAGAAGGCTACCAGGAATCGATTCTCCAGGATGCTCTAGTTCCAGGGCTCACTCAAAACCCTCTATTATCCTCTTTTATTTTCTCTCTTCTAGAAATTCATCTAGAAATTCCTCTAGAAATTCCTCTAGAAATTTCCTGGACTACAGCACGCAGATCAAACACTCGGTACCCACACGGAAAAATAATCACTAATGACGATGACACGCAATCAAATTGTCTGAATGGGAAAATCGGGCGTTGGTCTCGTATACGACAATTTCACCTGTTCCCTGAGCCGCTCTTTATCTTTCTCTATCTATGCGACTCTTTATACCGGCTATTCGGCGTTATCTGTCCGTAGACACACGGACTTTTATCAGGTGCTTAGACGCGACGACGATAACGGACACTCTAAGCTCCCATTTTCTTCCTCTTCTTTTTCGTCTGCACTTCCTTCTCATTCTCTCCGTTACTCCGTCTCTCTCCGTTACTCCGAGTGTGTTTTTTTTCCGGATGGTAATTTTTTTCCTCTTTCCTCTTATTCTTGACTCGGCACAACTCGTTTTTCTCTTTTTTTTTTTCCTCCTTTTGTATCAGCAGTCTACCGACGTCTCTGAATGTCTCAATTATTCATTGCCAGGAGGAATTGGATCAATGACGCTTCAAACTGTGTGACCATATATTTTTTTTTTCTTCGTTTGCTCTTCTTCTCTCTCACCTCTCACTTATTCAAATCATCTCGTTTGATTTTTATTTGAAGGTACTCTTTTTTTTTTTATTCTCTCACCTTTATTTGTGAAATGTCTGGTGTATCGAGGAATTGGGTTAAATGTATTCCGTCGTCTTGATAACGAGAGCGAGAAGTGTAACGACACCTCTCAACCTGTTACACTTCGTCCATGTCTTCGTAGTCACTCGTTTTCATTTATTTAAATCGGGGTAAAAATATCACCGACGTTTTATCGATTTTTCGAGGGACTGAAATTCCTGACGGATTTCATCTCACCGATTTGCGACCTCCGTTATGACTCCAGCAGTCATGCATTAAAGGTGTTCTACACCCATACCAAGAATTAACGCTCTTTTTTTTTCTGCCGAGCTTACTAAGGGGTGACGTCAAAAAATATAATGTTTTTACGTTTTTTTTCTATTTAATGACTCACGAAGTGTCAAGATGGCGCGTGCATTTTTTACGTTGTCTGTAAATTTTTTTTAATAATCATAAAACTGTAGAGAAAATTTACGAAAATGTGGTTTTTTTACAAAAAATATTTTAATGTGGAACATCTTTAACTTTAAGTGCCGGAAAGTCTCGGAGGTTTGAGGAAACATTCGATTTTTTTGGGTTTATCATTTTTTAATGACTCGTAAATTTTTGGGAATTTTTGCAAAAATTCGGAACGGCAGATTTCACGTCAATATAAACCGTTCCTCCGAAATTCGTAGGAAACACGAAAAAAGGATGATATCCTCAATAATTCAGAGAAAAGGGAAATGGATAGAAGAAAAATTCAATCGGTCGTACGGATTTTAAATAAAATCCATTAATATCCAGAAATTTCCGGAAAATATCTAGTACCCACTAATTTTAATGTCGAAATTAAAGTTTCGCTTGCCGAATATTCATTCCCATTTATTTTCGAAACTATTGTTAATTAATTCGTAATAAAATAAACGGAGAGTGGAAGCTGCAGAATTTTCCTTAAAATTCCAGAAAGCCGTGTTCTTGGGATTTTCCGATTGGCTCCAGCCCTTCCAGACCTCCAGAAAAAGGTGAATGCACCCTCCCGTCCTGCACCCCCGATTTCTCAAAAGCATCTTCACCCTCTCGCCATCCTCCCAGGATATCTCGATTTTCCCCAGGTTCTCACTTCCCCAGAAGAAAGCTCATACCCCAGACAGAAAAATACCGAAAAAGTCAAGTAAAATAGAACATACGAGAGCAACGATTTCCGACATTTGCCGCATTTTCTCCATCTCTCCTCCGATACCAATGGGATAGAGAAAAATAAAAAAGAGGGACGTGTACACACATTCCCCGAGTATGAATGTACTCTTTCTCTTCCCCTCTTCCCCTCTTTCGTCTCTGTTTCCATTTGCTCTTCCATCCTCTATCTCACCATCACCAACAAAGAGAATGTAAAGACGATATTTTCTCGTGGCCCCTTTTTTCTCTCTTCTCTCATCCACAGCTCACCTCTCCCTTTTCTTTCTTTTTTCTTCTTTCTCCTTTCTTCTTTCTTCTTTCTTCTGTCTTCTCTCTTCTGTCTTCTCTCTTCTCTCTTCTTTCTTCTCTCTTCTTTCTTATTTTTCCTCTCCCCCCGTCGCATCCCCTTCCCACCCCCTTCCCACCCCCTCTGACCCCATCACTTCTTTATATTCTTTGCTCCCCTTCTTTCTCCATTACCAACTCCTGCAAAACTCCTTCATCCTTCATCCTCCCCCCATTCTTTTTTATACATTTCCCACTTTTAATACTCTTTTTATACCTCTTCTCGTCTGTCTTTTCCCCCTTATTCCTTCTCCAGGATGGGAGTTTCCGAGGCCACGGGCTCTGCCTCCTTCTCAGGATTTTTCATCCAACCCCTCGTACACCCTTTTTCTACTTCTCTCCCACCGCCTCCTCCTTTTACCGTTTTTTTTTTCTCCACTCCCCTCCCCGCCAACTTTATCGACCTTTTCCTTATCGGTTCATCTCTCTCCCCCATTCTCGCCTTTTCCTTTCGCGAAAGGGAGGATAGTAACAGCGGGCTTACTTCTCCCCTGCGGCTATAGTCAAGAGACTAAAAGTTCTTTTCCAGTGAACAAAACTTCAGCAAATACTCGGGGCTTTTCAATGTTCTGGTTGGGGATTCAATGATTTCCAATCTTTGATTGGGAGTTTTATGGGAGTTATTGTTCAGAGATGTCGAGTTATCCGTTTGGTAAACACTTGGTGGTTTTATCATTTTTGTTTCGGTTTTTTTAGCTGGAGAGCAGAAGCTCTTTTGATTTTTTACCCGCATTTCCATGCTAATTCTCATTTTTTTAATCAAACAATGATTTAATTAAAATTTAAATCATTTATTTAATCAAATAATGATTTAATAAAAAATTAAATCATTTATTTAACAATTATAAATTCTCATTAATTTAATCAAATAATGATTTAATTAAAAATTAAATCATTTATTTAACAATTATTAATTCTCATTTTTTTAATCGAATAATGATTTAATTAAAAATTAAATCATTGATGCAGTCTGGGTTTTAAAGAATAGAATTCTGAACTTTTCAAAAAAATTGAAAAGTCCATGTCAATCCATTATTCTTTGAGAACCGGTGGAATTTCATTTTCGATTGTTTAAATATTTAATCTAATTTTTGCATTGCATATTAATCTTTCATCAACAATCGGAATTAAATATTAAGATCGTATAAAATGTAGAAGATATATATTTAATATTTTTTTGAAGGAATCGATGAAATTGAAAAATTTTCAGTTATGATTTGAAGTTCTGGAATGTTAAGGGAAAACTGACCACCGGATAAACTTGACGTGTCCAATGCTCGAATTTCCAACAGCACGTACAGTAAATAACAATTTTCCCATCGAAATTTATCCCACATACCGCAACTAGAAATAATACTTTCTACACGAGTGACAAACTATTCTCCCCGTCGTCTCTCCCACTTCGCAATTTTTCAACTATCGCACAACTTTCATCCGGCATTTTCCATTCGTCTTCAAATTGCTGGAATAAATATTTATCGAATTCCTCACTTGTGCCGATGGAGGCGAAAATATATTTATATTTTTTTTTTTTTTTTTCAAGTATACTTGATGAGAATTCCCAAAAAAATCTCAAAGACCTCAAAAAAAAAATTTCAAACGAAGCAATTTCCCTTTTTTCTCTTTCTAGTATTTCGCTACATTTTTCCATTGAAAATTCATGTAAATCCTAGACATAAATAAAATTGATTCCGCCGCAGTCGAATAGGAATTGCCCGGTACTATGTATATATGTAAACTATATTGAAATGGAAAAAAATTTATGTGAAAAAAAAAACTGATCGTTCATTCTAATCAATCAGTTATAAAAGTGATAAAGAACTCTAAAATAATACTAATTAAAAGAGGATTTGTATTTTTTAAATAGTTTTAGAGGAATAACGACAATTTTCGATCCGGGAATTATTTTAGACTCGATACTCGATTTATAAATCGATTTTATTGAGGCAGGCAATGAGTCAAATCGATATTTTATCGTCGAGATCACAATTATCTGATCTTTATGTTTAACTTTTGTTACCAATTTCCACTCTCATTTATCGAGAGTAAATGGTGAGGGCACATTATTTTTAATTAATTTAATTTAATTAATTAACTGTGTTGCTCATAAAAAATTGTTAGAATTATAATATCGAATATTTGACAGGTTTCTATGAAGTTATGGGTATTAAAAATCCAAAGTAAAAACTGGATTAAATGAGTTCCTAAATTATTTAATTATCCTTTCTATTCAAATAACGCTTAATCAATAAATTAATTAACTCTCTCTCATAAGAATTGTGAATAAACCTCCAGATAAATCCTAAATCCCTCGATTTATCTATCATATTTATTATTTTTTACGCGATTTTAGTATCTGGATTGCGAAAAGAATGGAAAAAAATATCGAAAATGATCGATTCCCCGCAAATCGATACTAAATAGATCGATCATACATTGATCGATCCTTGATTAATCGATATGCGATAGATCGATTATGCGTTAATCGATCCTGATTCGATATTTTTTTGCTGACGGAAAAATCCTAGAGGAAGATGGAGGAGAATGGAAGAAGGGGAAAGAGGGGGAAAGAGGGGGAAGAGGGGGAAAGAGGGGGAAGAGGAAAGCGAAGATGGAGGTGCAGTGGGCAGGGAAGCGTGGCAAGTAGTCCTAATTTCCGTCCTCAACACTACCAGAGCAATAATATACCGTAAGGTATAACAGTACCGCAACGCATTCCCGTGGAGTGCCCTTCGTTTTCTCTGGGTTCTTCCTTTGCTTAAAAGTATCCTCTCGATAAAACCCCACCAAACACTCCAACCGTTTCTCCTTGTGTCACACGTAACATTCTCCATTTGATGCCTCTCACCTGTTCTCCTTCATCCACAACAATTTCCCTCATCTCTCATCCCAGGTAAACCCACATAAAAGATTGAATTTAAGATTTTATACAAGTTTCTGTTCAAATTCATTCTTCTAATTTGTTTTTTATGTTTCAGGATCTAGGAAATATTTATTTATTCGTTATTGTGGGCATTTCTCTTTTACGTAGAAGTATAGCTCGTGGTAGGGAAGGTCGAGAAAGGATGGACTAAGGGTTGAGGGTAGAAGGAAATTATGTTATCTGGAGAAGAGTTTCACCAGGAACAGTTAATTAATTCGTTGTAAGTCTTCATTCTAGAAAGTACCTCTTGACTCTCTACATACAGATAATTTTTAATAATAATCCTCAGTGTTTAAAATCCTCAAAAAGTTGGTTCATTAATATCTCCATAATCCAATAGTTTCATAAACAAATTATCCCACCCATTTTTTTCCCAGAGGAAAAATATTTCCAAAAACTCCAGAATTGTTTTTGAAAAAGCCAAAATAATTCCGAATTTTCACATAAAAAAAATAAAATATCACTATGACAGCCTTTATTCAATTTCGAAATATCGAGTAGAGATGGTTGAATGGAAGGAAGAGGGGGTGAGAAAAATAGTTGACCTTGTGCCACCCCCTAGGGGATGCGCGGGTAAAAACAATTATGGGAAATCGAGTGATGGGCAGCTGTCCAGATAGAGACAATAAGGGCATGAGGAAGAGGCGATCATATTCGAAGGGTTGATGTATCTGGAGGAAAAAAAATAATATACCGTAAGGGGAACGAAGAGATATATTGCGCAGTAGAGAACTCTCTGTACTGTGAAGGGTGACGTGATCTGGCGTTCAAGGTCGTGCGTGTTAAGGTATACGCCAGAGAGAGATAAAAACTTGTGGATGAGGGCGAGGGTGTAACAAGGTTTTTTCCCTTTGTTCGAACCCCTTTGCCAGGGGCAACGGGTTTCCACTGGGTTACTGGAAGCATTAAAATTGTTATGAATAATTGAAACAAAAGGAAGAAGTGAGGGAGGGTTCAAAGGGACATTTATTTCTAGAGGACAATTCTCCTCTTCCATCCTCAGCCTCAGCCCTTTCAAGATCAGGAGAGATTGACGGAATTAGCATGAATCCAAATGCAAAAATGGTCTGATTATCATCTTTTTTGAATTTGATGACTCAATTCAAATTTCTTGGAAATTGAATTAATTTTTTAATTAAGAAAAATTCATTTGAAAACTTCCCGAAATTTCTGATTCATCAAATTTTTTATGAAAAGTTATTGACAGAAATTTGTCCTGAATTTTTTAAAATTCTAAGATTTAAAAAATTAATAATTAAAAAAATGTTGTGTTATTTTGTTGTTAAAAAAGGAAAATGTAATTTTTTCTTGAGAATATTCTCGTCCAATTTTTCCAGGATGAAAACGGAAATTCTGGGGTATTCAAGAAGCAGAAATTTTTCTCCAGTGAAAGGATATAGAGAAAATTCGAGAGACGTGTGTGTGAGGGAGTGAGAGAATGAGAGAAGAAAAGGGGTGGAAATGGATTTCTCGAGTGAGGGGTTGGTTTTTCTCGTTTCAACGAAGAAGGCAGCGGGTAGTGAGACGTCAGGGGAAGAAGGGAAAGATGTACATAAGGAAGGGAAGAGAAATATATAAGGGTGGGTGAGAGCGGACGGTGGATAAGAGAAGAGGTTCTTTGTGAGAACGTGGGTAGACGAAGGGATGAAAGCGTAGGATGAAAAAGCTGGGGGGACAGATGGCCGTTATACCTCCACGGACAATGAGAAACTCGAGAGATAAGGGGGAACAGGCAAGAGCAAAAAAATAAAATGAAAAAAAAAAAAAAAATGAGGGTATGAAGAGTGGAAAGAAGATAAAAAAAAAGAAAAGAGAGAAGAACAAATCGAAAATTTCGTTTGAAATTCTTTTTTCCTCCTTTCTTTCCCCTTTCTTACCCCTCTCTGTCCCCTTTTCTTCCCCTTTCCTTCCCCTTTTCTTCCCCTTTCCTTCCCCTTTTTCCCCCCATCGCGATGACGACCTGAACCAGAACGAGGGGAGGAAAAATGTCAGTGTCGAACGGGTTTCCTTTTTATTTCTATTCTTTTTTTTTTCTTTTTTTTTTCCAACACTCTTCTTCGTCTCGGGTACACCAGGATGTGGGTGGCGGGTGAAAGGCGAGAGGTGGAGAAGGGGTTGGCTAAGAGAGAACTGTACTCTATCCATATTAGACGGTCTATGAGCAGAAAGTGGGAGAGGTAGAAGGATCAAGGATGAAATGAGAGTTAAAAAGTTGTCTTGAAAGGATAAGGAAAAAAAAAATAAACGAGGATAAAAAAATAATGGCAATGATGAAATAAAATGGAGTGAGCAATACAATCTTTGTTTTGTTTCTTTCATCTCAGTCTTGGGGAGTATCCTTCAGAGAAATGGAGGAACCGGAGGGACGTCCGGATGAATAACGGTAGATGGGTGGCACTATTGCACGTGAGGTAGAGTTGGAGAGGTGGAGGCAAGAAGTAAAAGGAAGAGAGAAGAAAAAAAATGAGGAGATAAAAGTGTGCAAGAGCAAGGGAAATCGGGGGAGAGAACAGAAGTGTGTATGAGATGCTGGAGGGGCTGGAGGGGCTGGAGGAGTTTGAGAGGATGAAGAGAGGGGAAGGGGACAAAAGAGAAAATGACAGAGACAAGGAAAAAGAGGCTAGAGAGAGTCCGATACACGAAGCGACTTCAATGCAGGAAGATATGAGGCCCCACGTTGGTCCCCGCAATTTCCCTTCGTCGAGCCTATCCCATCGTTCCCATGAATTATTAATCCTTTTTTTTTATGAACAAATGGGGAAAAAATTGTGGAATGGAGGTTCTACGAGCCGTAGAGCTGAGCGAGGTGAGTGAGCAAGGCCAAGCGAGAAGGAACAGTAAAATTGTGGAGAATGTGTACGTCGGGCCAGCGGGGCTGGCCTAGATTCAACTCCAAGACCTGCTTTCTAGGCAGCATTTCTCTTTATCACCACGAGAGAACGCGGGCGGTATCGCCAGGGGGAAACTGGGGGGACCTTGTGTGAATGCCCAATGGAAAATGTGTGTACGAGAATTTTAAAAGAAAAATTCACCACTGGGACCTCGATATCCACTGGAAACAAAAAAATATGGGTGAAATAAAAAATTTAAAGAAAAATACATGATAAATTTTTCCTCTCGTTTCTGTTGCGTTTCTATAAATTATCCGATGGGAGGCAGGGGTTGGGAATAATGAGGGAGGAACGAGCGTCAAAGGCAGGGATAAAACAAGCCCTGAAAACATATTTTTCTTTGCCACGGAATCCTACATTTTCTGGGGTAAATGAGATGGTTTTTCTGTCGGTGAATTTTCCGAGAGGTATGTCGATGGTCAGAGAGAATAGTGGATCAATCCAGCGGGTGGTCGCTGATTGTCATTCTCAAGGAATCAATAGGACGATTTTGTTGATGATCGGGTAATTGAATGAGTAATTTGAATCTCGCGCGTCACCCGGTGCCTCGTGTCCCCTTGGGTTTTAATACCAAAACAAATCCACGCTCTCCCCCATTCGTAAGCTGTCAAACCCGCGGTGACCAGTTAAACCGCGCGCCAATTCGAGGTTATAATGACAAATTCTCACGATTTCTCTCCATTAGCACAAAAAGACAAAAGTATCTCATGAACAATTAATTGTTGATATTTATCGTACCTTACCATGACCCCGGTGAATTCAGCTCGAAAAGTAAACCACTCAACTGGATTTCAAATCATCTGTATCGGGCCTCAAGGGTCCGCTCCAATGAATTCAAAAAAAGTCTTCAAAAATCCAAACAATCGACTGCCACTGATGAACAACAATTGCCGATAAACTTTCACTGTACCCAGTGGTTATTTCACATGAAATGGTGTGTTGTCATCTCCTGGATTCCTCGGTTTCATGACAATAATAACGACACTTGTGACAGCTGTCACCGGTATTAAACCCCACAAGTAAATCAATTGAATAATCGACGACAACTGAAATCGTGATAAATAAATAAATACGAGGTAAAATACAACGCACACGCGACGCGATACGAGCGTCGAGTGGATGGTGTGTTTTGCGCGTTGAGACTCGCGGGTGATGTACCTTTTTTATTTTTTCTTTTTTTCTCAGTACCGGGGCTTTTGGCGGTGGTATATACGGTCGCAGCGCAGCCGAACGGTGGCGCAAAGCGATTAAGCGATTTTGTTGTGGACCTCGATTCCTCTTCCTCTGACGATGGGCTCTCTCTTCCCGGCTTTCCACTTCTCCCGCGCGCCACAATCTCCTTTCGCCTCTCTCCCGCGGGTTGCGCGCACAACCAGGAACCGGTGATGTCCACCATGAACGGAAACCAACGCCTACCCCCACCACAAAATGTTGAATCACCAAGAGCCAATCCCCATCGTGGACTACTTGTTGAGAATCACCGGATATCTACATGCCCGCTCCACTCAACATCCCGATAATAATCAACAAAAATCAACAAAAATCAACAAAAATCAACAAAAATCATCATTCCAACACATGTTCAAATACCCATGACTCACATTTTTGAATTATTTATTTTTCATTGCGATTTTTCATTTGTCATTGGGATTTTTTTGGTGAAGATATTAGTTTTTATTGGGATAGGGAGATCGGAATTGATTGAATGAGTTTTTCGATTGTCCAGATTGTTGGGAGGATTGAGGCGACTGGTGTGGGTTTTCATGGTGATTTGTACGGTACTGAACATATCTATCCCCTCTTATAACATCAATCTGCGCAGAGAAGGGTTTGGTGTTGTTTTGCGCCGCGTCTGCCCACTCGAAACCTCGGCTAAATTCCGTTCCACCCTCGGCTGGCACTTCGGCATTCGCTGTCGATCGTTACGCATCCGAGAATAACGCCATTGTGTAAAAAGAATCCACGACGCTCGGATAGTGCACGCTGAGGACCGGACTTTCCACCGGACACGTAGTTTTCCTTTAAGAGTTTTCCTCCTGTGATATTTAGACTGTGCCAACATTAGGTGAGTAATGCAATGATTTTATATTGGATTTATTTGAGTTATCGTTGGGCTGGGATGACATTGGGGATTACATTTTTGGGGATTGATGTTAGAAAAGCCGTGGCGTCCCTAGGTCGATTTTTCCGATTAACTATTACTGGGGGAAATCTATTTTCAAGAGGATTTTTTGCTGAATCGGATTTTTAAAAATTTTTTTAGTCCCCTAGGATTTCTGCGGAGTCTCGTGGTCGTCGTCTCTGGGAAAAGCCTTTCCCCCGCGTTTTTGCCGAAAATTTTCGCCATTTTGTACTCTCGAGGCCACATTCGCCGCCATTACTGTACACCGATAGCTGTTTGCCAGTACTATGCAAATCCTAATAATGATGAAACTTGAGGACATGTGATTATTTTTGCGTCGTTGTTTGGGGTTTTTTTTTGGTTTTCGGGTTTTTTTTGTTCTTTGGTTTCGGTTCACATTCTGGAAATTATCTCAATGAATTCAAGTGTTGATATTATCATCTTTAAACTTTTTCTCCGAAAATCCAAATTTTCATTTTTTAATTATCCTCCACATTTTCACTTTAGACATTTTTCTCCAAAAATTATTGTCATCAATTTCTGGAGAATCGTCGGTTAATTGTCAAAATCCGAGAAATGTGTCGCGATATTTTTTTCAGAGACTAATCTTTAAGTAAAAAAGAAAAGATGAATAAAAATAGATTAGTGGGTTCATTGAGATAATTATTTTTTTTGCGAAAATGGGGCAATGATAAAAAGTTGTCGTTCATATACCGAATAGGGGGCGAAACGGGTAAAACTCGTGCCCAAGTACAAGCAGCAACCGTCGCGCTGTCGTCGGTTGCCGGCGTTGCCACGGATATATATATTTTTTTTTTATAATTTCCTCTGAGAGGGTGGTGGGGCGAATCGGAGCAACGTTCAACGTACGTAAGCCATTGTCGTGAAGGGCAGCGGCGAAAGAGCACACGTCGAGTTGGAAGCTTTCCCTGGGGTGTTGTTTCAAGTTCTAGCGTCTACCTCGCTTGTGATATTAGGACTTTTTATACTTCAGAGACTTTGGTGAGTGAAATTACCCTAAAATCTCGGAAATCTCCATCCGCCTTGCCCAAACGTGTCATTGAATTCCGTGGGAACTATTGATTCGGGAAAGCGTTCTCTCCCCGCGTCCCCCCAAAATTATCTATCATTTTTTTATCCGGGAGCTATTCGATTTGACAGCGGAAATTTGAGCGTTCATTCCGGCCCATTCTGACTCGCCTCGCGGAAATATCGATTGAATTTCGTGGAACCGCGAAACTTGGAATTTCCACTTGGGCTTTTCGCCATTTTGTACGGGCACGACCCTGTTGTCGGCCATGTTGGGTGCCCCCGTTGCCGCTTTATTCCAGGGGAGTTGCGGTGAAAAGGAGGAGAAGTGAAGTGGACAAAAAAGGTGGGGAGGGAAACGCTGAGTACACAAAAACTAAAGTTCCCCTCGTCTAACAAGAGGTGCGCGCGCCTCTCCTTTCCTCGGTATTCCCCCTATTTCATAATTCCTCAATTCCCATTTTCACCGTCGTAAAACATCCATTCGTCAATCCAAATAAAAAAAAAACGCGTAATCACTATAATATTTTTGTTGTATTATTTATGGACTGCTACCTCCATGACGCAACAATCTCACATGAGATAATATTATAAATAGATTATGCAATCGGGCGTTTCAATGCGTTATCACTGTTCTTGTACATATATACATGTCCACCCCCTTTGATCGATGCTTATCGCGTTTGCGCGTTTCATCGTTCGCTCAATTGATTTCGTGTTATATCTCGTCTCTCGCGGATGGAAATCGGTATTGAACCGTTGGTGAATATTTTTCCACAAACGTGGAGCATAGAACGTGGGCCCGACGGAAAGGCGCAGTAGACGGGGCCCATATCCCCCACATCCCCCTCGTCCCCCTCGTCCCCCATATTCTCTACATCACATTCCTGGGCAACATGCCCCATCCAATTCGTTTTCCCCCATTTGGTTCTCCCAGCCTTTTTCTTACTTTTTTTTTATTCCCATTTTTTTTATTTCTTTTTTTATTTTCGGGCTTCCCAATGCGCATACGTCGTCGCGCAGATGCCGCTCGAAGTTTCCCTGTGCGCATGCGCAGTGCTTGCGCGTCGTCCTCCCGCATCATCCCCACCATTTAGATTTTTCGTTACCGTTAGGTAGGACACGCACAAAGGAAAAGGCCAGACCATCCGGACGCGCTTGCATCATACAGCCATTTTGGAAGCTTGGGTCGCGTCGTTAGAGCTTTTTTTGCCCGTAAAAATACCAGTTATTAAAATTGATTAATTTATCTGGATTGTGATTAACATCCGTGCAAATGAGAGCGTCAACGAGAACTAGGTAGCGCTGGATCCGACGGATTAATCAACGTTTTTTTTTTTTCTCTATTTTTCATCGGGATCTACAGAAACGAGGGAAAGAATTGAAACATGGAGGACGATCAGCAGTTCTGCCTAAGGTGGAACAATCACCAGAGCACGCTCATCCAAAACTTTGACACACTCCTCGAGAGCGGCACGTTGGTCGACTGCACCCTGGCGGCGGAGGGGAAGTACCTAAAGGCTCACAAAGTGGTCCTCTCCGCGTGCAGTCCATACTTTGAGGTGAGTTTGATTTTTTTTAAATCTTAATAAATCATCCTATCGATCCGTTTCCTGGGTTTTTATCGATTAAAATTACTGATGACAAAACAGAGACTCCACTTTGAGACATTAGTTGGTCCAGGAAAAAAATCATGGCATGATAGATGAAAGGATTTCGATGATTTATCGTTTTTTTTTTCTTCTGAAGAGAGAGGAGGAATGAGAGAATGAGAGTGGGAATTGGTGAAAGGTAGTTAGCGTTGGCATTTCACTTCTTTGTCCCGTTGGTACGCCAGGAGTTAGATCAATACCAAATACAGAGAATGAGAGAGACAGATGTATAGGTTGATGTTGAAACAAAATGGCGGTGGATGAAGAGGTATAGAATTCATGGCTGGGCGCAGATGAGGAGAAATACAGGGGGTACCGGGGGGGAGGTGGGCGACGAGGGGGGCAAACCCAAATCCCCTCCTGGTTTCTCCTGATCAATACAGGGAAAGCAAGATGGCCGATTTCCAGGGCACCACTCGCCCTGGGATGGAATATCAAAGTTAGCAAAGTCCTGGGGTGGTGGGGAAGAGAGGGAAATGGGGGGCGGTATTAAAAGGGGGGATGAGAGGATGAGTGGATTCTTGAGGTTTTCCGGTGTCGGTGTTCAGAGACTAATGGAAATTTTTCTTTTGTTTGAACCATTAACAGGGCCTTCTCAGCGAACACTATGACAAACATCCAGTCTTCATTCTCAAAGACGTGAAATTTAAGGAGCTTAAGGCCATGATGGACTACATGTACAGGGGAGAAGTTAATATATCCCAAGACCAATTGGCAGCATTACTCAAAGCGGCCGAGTCCTTACAAATAAAGGGCCTCTCGGAAAGCAAGACTGGTGGTACCAACAGCAACAGCAGCAGCACCAAAACAGACTCGAGGCAACAAAAAACAACACAACCGCCTGTATTGTCAGACATTCCACATGGGTCTTCCGGTCTCACAATTGAGAAGAACAGCAAAGTTCCTAGGCAGAGTGTAGCGCATGTATCGGTTGCTGATGTACCAGAGGACTCGGCCAGTCCACAATTACCCAAAGGCGTTTCCTCCAGGTTAATATTCATTAATATTTAAAATTGGCAAAATATTCATTGAAATTATAAATTGATCATTGATTTATTTGTGATTACAGGGAAGGCTCCCAAAGTCCGCTTCCCAGAAAAAGAAAAAGAATAAGAAGAAGAAGCGGTGGTGATGATAATTCAATGGATAACCACGAGGCATCAAATTCTAGTGATATACCCCAGCAATTGGGTATAACATCGCTCGGTCTGACGCCTGTTGGGGATGACAAATCACACTCAGAGCCTGGAGATGTTGTCGGCAAGTCAGCACTCATGTCCCACCTGACGAAACCCACCGACGACATTCATCAGGTAATTATCGACAGAATTTATTAAACTCGTACCAACGCCTAATGGAGATGTGCAGTAATCCGCTAGTTTCTTTCGCTCGTTGGTAGATGATAATTCGTGTTATTATCCTACTGTCTCTGTCAAATTTCTCATGACGTTGCAGTGTGGAAAGACACGAGACAAATCATCAAGATGATAAATAGGGATTTGTGTGATTATTGTGGATTATTTTTATCGCAGATTTCCCTGGAAAAGGCTGAACCTACAGATAACCTGATTGAGCCAAAGTCCGAGTACCTGGAGGACCCTGAGGAGAGTGTTGAAGACTTGACACTGGATGATGACATGAATGACCTCAATGAACTGGAACAAGACAACAACAGAGCCGGACCTTCGTCGCACGATCCAAGTCAACATCCTGGTAAGTTCAATTATTCCTCAATTAGCCCACCAATTTACTAGTGAATGTAAACTAGGATAAGTTCATTTTTCTAGGCCAGTTTATTTGTCCTTTCGAAATTGAAAGGAAATTTTTCACTTTTTTTTTGTAGAAGAATTCCAGAGAAATTACAAAAATGGCATTCAAATGATTATTTTGTTTCTATCAACTGGTCTGGAAAAAAATACTCATCCCACTTTATCATTTCGAAATGGATTTTCAATTTTACACCGTAAAATCACGTGGCGTTTCTACAATACCATAACGTTGGCAAATTGATCAAATTTAATAAATCTGGAAGGAAATTTCCCACGAAAAATTGTCTTGAGTAAAAAAAAAATTTCAACCGATGATAGAAATCAGTCAGTGGAAGAATAAATCTGAAGACCATTAAAGAAAAACTGGGAACAATTATTACAATAACTACATTTGCATTGGATAAAATTCACATGATTGATTGAACACAGTATAAATCGTCGTGACGTAAAATGTTCCATGAAGAAAAAAAAAAAATCGCAAAAGGACGACTAATATTTCGGAGACTAGAGTTTGGGTTTCCTCGTTGCAGGTGGGGGGGCGCGGTCTAGTACGAGAGGTGACATTAATTCTGGTGGTACAACCCAATTGACAACGAACTTCGTCCTCAATAAAAATCCGCAAACAAGAAGAACGCGTCCAGATGTCGATGTAGGCTCATTGTTAAAGTCACTTGCCAATAAACAGGGTAGAAAGTACAGTTTAGACTCGGTAAAGATGTCACTCGATGCGATACTCAAGCAGGGGATTAGCACAACGCGAGCGTCTGAGATGTACGGCATCAATCGTTCGACACTCCAGTTTTATCTTAAAAAACTGAACGTCGTGAGGAAACGGTGGCAACAGCCAACCAATCCCCGACGATACCAGTGATTCAAATGTTATCCAATCGATCCCTAATCTAACAATCAATCATTAAGATAATTGATATATTAATTCTATTAAATCAAACCACTAATTTCACACTCGGAATTTATGTGGATTTTTATTTATCGAATATCATTTTAAAAATAACACGTTATTGATTTTATTTTCTCCACATTTTTTCATTCTGATGTTTGAAAAATCCATTCAGGCTGTGAAATTTTGGGATTTCTCAATAGAAAATTAAGAGAAATTTACGAAAACCGTAATAAATCCTCCACTCAACCATGACGTAGAAAACCGATTGATTTGCCACCGTTACGTAATTGTAGCACGTTATGGAAATAATCAGAATACGTTGAATAAATGTCTTTCAAAATGATAAGACACTTTTTTTTTAAATCCATTTTTGGTATGACCCCTCAATTAACTCGGTAATGTATCTCCAACTGATTTTGTGCTTTGGGTTCTTTTTCCCTGGGAAAAAAAAAACACTAACAGGTCTCGCAGCGTGGCATGTAACGGGCGATCGAAGTAATGCGGGTGGCGTCGTGGGAGCGGTAGCTGGAGCCCCTGGGGCTAATGACGAAGTTTTCCTCGCCGCCCAGGAGGCCGCCCAGGCCCACCGCGACTCTCAAGGTAGGCTCATCCTCATCATTTGACAGTCGCCGACGTAAACCGTAACGATAGGCACTTACGACTCGTTATTAAAGACTTATTCATCTAAAACTCATAATTTTCTTCTTGAAAATCACCCTGAGGAGGTAAAAAAAAAGTGCTTACCTAAATGAGTCACCAAATCAATTACGAAAGTAATCAATAAATTCTATTGTCTCATTTACTGAGCACTTCGGTCGATTCCAATCCGTGGAGAACCCTGAGAAATTAATCCCGGATGATTTAAGTGCCTATTGCGCAGGGTTGCGAGGCTTTCCATAATTTCGCTGTCTGGCAACGTGGCTCAAACGTGATCTCGGTGTTCAAGCGTGGCACGGTCTCTGAAAGAGCAGTTATCAACCGTTATTTTTTTCCTCATTTTATTTTATTCATTTATTCGTACCCCCTAGGACACGTGGTCAATGTACTTTAACTGTTTACCCTGATAAATTGACGCACTGATGTGACGTGTGAGGCCGAATCGATAGACAAAATGTATTTCTAAAAATTCCTCGGCCTTTCAACGCGTTTAAAAAAATTACCTCTCTCTCTCACACGAGCGAATGACCCCAGCACACAACGAGCCTCTTGAAATCCTCGGGCCCTCCCTGTTATGCGAATATAAAAAAGATAAATATATTCTCGAAGAATAGAAAGAGTGCGATTTTTCCCGGATGCCTGTTGAGAATGGCTTCTTCGTAACGGCGTGTAAAGAAAAAAAAATCGAAAACGCTCAGAAATGAAAAGAGGGACTAATGAACTGGTGATGTTGGTTAAAAAAAAAGGGGGGGAGGGAGATTTGGTCGAGACGCTCCCACGAAAAGTCGCTGGCCTTGGGCTCCATAGCTGGTTTAGGATGTGAAGAGGGGGCGAATTTTTCTTGTTTAACTGAAAGAGTAGAGAAACCGTCTCGTAATGAGCTCGCGGTGAATAGGTAGAGCGTGAGAAGGAAAAGAAATTCATCCTATTCCGATGGAATTGGCCACCAATGAGCGAGAAAGCCAATTCCGATGACCTAGATTCATGACGGGCCGATGAACCTTGCTGATTCCACGGATAATGTTGCGCAATTGTTATTGGCTCGAGTTATCAAGACACTTGGATCGTATTTGAGGGATATTGAGGAAAAACGTTGTCTAAGTGATTTGGAGCGAGACTTTTTTCAGCAGATGGCTCGCGAAAAAAATATATGAGGGCGATTGCATCTGCCGAGCGACTACAGCTGTCGGTGGCAGATGCCGTTCGCAGATGGTGGATTATTTCGCGAGGGAGCCGATTTTAAAATCGGTAATTTTTCAAAAAACCTCTCGGCCCTTGCAGGGAATTATGGCTCAGCGGGGCCCAACGTGGGACGCACTCAAGGTAATTACGGAGAGAGAGGGAACGATCTCTCTGTCAATGCTGGAGTCATGCCGGAATTTTATATTCTGATTGAATAAATTAAGTTGAGAAGTTGAATAAGTCGAAATTTGTACAGTAACTAATTGACGGTTTATATCGAAAAATATTGATCTGCCGGGGAAATGCCAGAGGACTTTTTCGGAGATTATTGAATTTCCCATGAAATCGGTCTTTTCGTATTTTCTCCTGAAATCAATAGTTTTCGAGAAAAATCGATAATTAAACATGTGAAATTCGAGTTATTTCGTTTAAACTTTTCGCTATTTGATTTTAGTCTTCGGTTTTTATAGCTGAGGGTTCTGTTGGGTATTTATCACTCGACTTTTGTCTCGAGTGGCTGTTTGATGATTTTAAATAAATTCTAGAAAACATTTATTCGGTCATTGACACGCATTGATGGAACGGTCGTTTTATTTCACCCTCAGAGACTTGTTACCTTGAATAAGAAAATAACAATCTCCGGGATTAATATTGAACAAGACAAGTCGAATAACAATTGCTTCGTCTTAGTGCCCTAAATTCATTTGTTTTTCATTTTGAGATATGTTGAATAAATTATTTGATTTTTTTATTTATAAAATTACAACCGATGTTGCGCCACGTTGTCCACAGTGTGTAGAATTGAAATATCAATTTACATGTTGTGAAAGTGCGAGCAATGAAAAAGGGGGATGTGGGTTGTTCAGGATGTGTGTTATTCCTCGATCAGGACACGCATCGTTCTCGTTCATTGCAATCGCCGTTATTCCCCCAAAAATTATCCCAGAAAGAAACAAGAAACCACCTCTCGTAGTCGTGTTCGTGTTTTTTTTTTCCTGTTGGTAGTATTATTTATGAGTACGTAGTTGAGAAAAAAATTAACGAGAATACTCTTGAACAAATCGTGCTGTAACACGATAATATAAATGTGTTCACACAACCGCCACCTTTTCAATGACATTTTTTCCTCATGAAAATTACCGATTAGATCTGATTCGTACGACCGATCATCTCTTCATTACCACGAATACGAGGGAGACAGAAATGCTCGGGGATTTTTTTTTTTTGTCTCAAGTTTTCCCATCAGCACGTGGGGAAGACTACACACCTTCACTCTAACATCTACACATGCATTACCTCTCTTTATTTTTTTCATGTTTATTCTTCGCGCTTAAATTTCCACTCTGATATCATCCCAAGAGTCGATCGCTCGTACGCAATTAAAATTCAAATGAATTCCTGTGTGACGTGCAAAGTGTGAATCACATTTTTTTTTTCATTTCTGCTAAAACAGAATAATCGATTATCCACTACGTTGTGCCATTTTATTATTTTCGTAATTCGTCTTGCATGCCACGCTTCCTTCGGTAGTGTAATTTTTATTCTTAACTCATTCACTGGCGTACGCGTGCACTCCTCACGAAATAAATTATTTAAACAATCAATAGAGCCTGTAGATTGACTGATTATCGTGAGTGATAGTACACGCCTGCGATCAATCGTATATTATATAAAAAAAAACATATATATTATTTTTCACTAACCCACGTGTACATAACTCGCTTCTTTGTTCGTAACGCATATACATCAAATGTTTGATTAACTCGATTCACTTTATTATATACCTGATATTGATAATGCATATGTTTTATCACATATGTACATGAATGGGAGCAAAAACAATCCATGTTTTATTAACCTTTAATTATGGTACATTATGTTAGAAATCTATGATGAAAAAAAAAACAACATTCAACCTAAATAATTTAATGATAACAACGTCAAAGAATTTATCATGTTATAATTCTGGTGATATTGTAAATGTTATCATTTTCACTATTGTCACTCTTGTGTATTCATGCCATACTCATGTCATTTCGTTCGTTTTATCATGATATATTTTTCTTCTCTTTATCTTTTACTCCCAAGTGTTTAGGAATTTTTAAGAAGAATTAATTAATGAAGAAGAATGCTGATTACCACTCGGGGTTGGAGGATCGAGACATTTTCTCGTGTCACCGAGGCCCTGAGTGGTTTCATCCAGTAAGAAGAGAGAAGAGAGAAGAGAGAAGAACTGAACCGAATGCTTTTTGCATTTGGCGATCGTCGACCTGCTTTTTTTTTGCAACGAGAAAGTCGTTTTTATGTATGAAGTCTCTACTTGCCATTTGCAAGTTGAGTCTTTGTACTGGTGTCATCAGTGGATCTTCAGGTAATTGGTAAGAGGTATACAGGTGATTTTTTTTACTTATTTAATATTTTATGTGGAACTGTTGATGATTTTTTCGTGATATCTGTATATTTTTATGATATTTTTATGATATTTTTATGATATTTTAGGATATTTTGATATTTTATGATACATTTATGATATTTTTATGACACTTGTTTATTTTTTGTGAAATTGTTTAACAATGGCAAGGAGAGAGTTTAATTTCACCCTGAGGTCATCGAATCATTCATTGGTAATACGAATGTGTCCTTGACTCATCGCTGAAACATTGCTCCACTTTGTTGATTGAATTAATATTCCCACAGCCATTTATCCAATTGTGCTAGCCCATAAGATTGTTATACCTTTTAAGCGACTTGTGAATGAGTTTGTGTGAGAGAAAACAATTGTGTGCTGATTCGTACGAGTGAATGCATTTTTTTTATTCTCATCCTGAGAATTTCATTGTCGACACGTGTGAGATTTCACCTCGACGTTTATTCATTCAACGATTATCTTATTTCTGTCGATGTTTTCGATTTTATTGCAGGCCAATTTTGCTGATGCCTCGCTATTTATTTCCATGGGAACTTGACGAAAGATTACTGCTGCAATTTTGCGCAATCTCTCGTTCAAGAACCTCTGGTTAAATGGAAGGCGTTTGATTTATTTTTATATTGAATTTAACTCTAGGAAAGTGTCTCTGAATTTTTTCACTTGGAAGATATTCAACGGCTGATTAAGAAGATTTAAGAAGACAGTTCGACGGTTTTTCATTCATTGCAGTGTTTGGGCGCCTCTTTTTTTCCCCAATCGGTACAACTCAGCGTTATGGTGCCTCTCGAATTCCATTTATTTTTTTATTCTTGAGGGATTTAACGGTGAGTCGAGGGGAGAATCGAGATGTGCAGATGCACGAATGGATGATAAACAGAGTGATCCTGATGAATCTCGTGAGGAAGAGAAGACTATACTTTTTTTAGTCTTCTCTGAATCCGAGATTCTTGCTGACTGCAGTCTTCAGATCTTGTGGTAATGTATTGGTAACAGGTTATAGATTTAATATATTAAAAATATATTATCTCGATTATTAAGATTCTGCTTAGGCTAAGGATTCTTTGATGATTCAACGGTTCTTTTATTATTTGTAAATATTGTAGTGACTGTATGATGATTTTTACAATATCTTGTGATAATATTGATCCTTTACAGCTTTATTATAATCAAAATGTCCTCAATTCTGCAATGTCAAAGTTTGAAGGCATCCTGAATACTATTTTATTCATTACTCGTCAGAATTTTGACATGAATTGAGAAAGTAATCCACCAAAAAATCGTTTTTACATATTTTCTAGGTGAACAATTGTTTTTTTCAGTTTCAAAAATTTGT